GTGTAGATGCACTTCAGTTGGGCTATTGATCCCACCACCTTTTTTGGGGGAGAAACCCTAATTCCTATCTGACCATTCTCAGGCACTTCCATGGTTTCTAACACATCCATAACCCTTGCGTCTTTGCTGCCACACGGATCTCCATCCCCTACCTCCACTGAGATGGCAGACTGAAGGACCTCACTAGCACACCATTCCTCAAATATTGGCGTGCCGCCCCCAGGCTTATCTCTAGCGAGCCTGGTTTTATCCCTTTCCCCCTTCAAATCTAGTTTAAAGCTCTTTCAATGAGCCCTGCTAACTCCTGTGCAAAGATCCTTTTCCCCCTTTGAGACAGGTGTACCCTGTCTGTCGCCAGCAGGCCTGGTGTCGTGTAGATCAACCCATGATCAAAAAACCCAAAATTCTGCTGGGGACACCAGGCTGGGAGCAAGGTGTTGATCTTGCCTGTTGAACAGGTTCTTCCTGTTTCTTCCCTCACCATTCCCTGCAACTGGAAAGATAGAGAACACTACTTGTGCTCCTGATCCCTTAACCAGTCATCCCAAGGCCCTGAAATCTCTCTTGATTGCCCTTGGAGAAAAGGGCGAGGGACTATTGCTTTATTTAGAGACATGCTCGTATGTCCAGGTGGCCCCTGTTATCCACGTGGGGGGTGAAGTCCAAGCAGAAAGGATGCTCTTCCCGTCTGCACACGCTGTGACACATTGTTATGGCACATAGTGTCAGGGCACTGCAGCCCCTGGGTCCTCTCTGCCTCCCTTTGCCAGCATCAGAGGATGGTGAGAGCCACTGGGGAACGAGGGAAACCCTGATGGCATGTGTGGTGATGGGTTATGGGGGGCCTGAGCCCTTAGTCCTCGTGGGAATTCCAGGCCTGGTACATCAGCCACTTCCCACTGGATTTCACGTGCTAGTGTAGCATCCACTTCCCAGAAGTGCCTTTGTGCTGGCACCAGACAGGGCACCCGGGCACGCAGCTGTAACTCCACACATGCTGCATTTATTCCAGACCAAGTGGCTTTTCACTCCAGTTGCTTCTTCCCACCTTCCAAATCTCCCAGTGCTTCTGCAAGAAGTGCTGTGAAGTCTAAGCCAGCAACGTGAAGCCTCCAAGCCCAGGGTCTGCATGGTCCTCTGGGACCCTCGTTTCTGGAGCTGAGCTCTTTAACTCAGTTGCTCCTGCCACTCAGTTTTTGTGTTCATGGCAAAGGCCAGCAGATCAGGCCACTTTCTAACAGGGGAGCCCAGAAAGAGCAATGCTTTGCACAGGCTTTTGAAACATGTGTGTAGGAGGGGAGCTTGTCCATGAATAGCTCCAACAAATTTTAACTGAGTAAGGAGCAGGAGGAAAGTCACTGACCCGTTGCCCCGAGCCACCTGAAGGTGTAGAGCATTTGGAGGTCATTCATTAAAGGCAGTGCTGGCTACACACACGCTTGCAAATCCGCACCCACAAACCTTCAATGCTGCTCAGCATCATCCTGATCTGAGACACAGAAGCGTTAGGGCACTCATGGACCAGCTTTCCAGAAATAAACAAATGCTGCTTTGTCCACATCTCCCCTCCTGTGTTTCAATCTACTTTGAGTTACTGGAGCCAAGAAATTAAAATACCTTGGGTCTGGGGCTTGGGATGAAACTACTGATCTCTCCAGCCCATGACACATGGAAAATTGAATCAGAAGCTGTAGGGACTTGCAGAGAGCAGGCAGGCTTTTTCCTTCCCCCCACCAAAATTTCCCCATGATGCCCCACTAATTTCACTACTTCATTTAAGTCTGGAGTCCTAAAGGGGTGTCCCTGTTTCCTCACTGTGGTTAGTGACCTCAGGCCTGGAAAAAGACACACAGAGACTGCAGTTTGGAGGAGAGAGCAGGAGTTTGCATTCCCCCCCACCTCATACAGCTGGGCACCATCACTGGCAAAGTCTTTGCCTCCCGCTAGAGAGCAGAGCAACCAGCAGAGAGCCAAAGCCAGGCCCTGGACAGACCAACATACTTATAGACATTGCCCCAGTCTCTAAACCACAGCATGCTGCTGTAATGTCTCGCCAGTCCAGATGATGCTAATTAAGCAGTAGTGCCTGGATACAATGTGCTTCCTTACGTCCGAGGCACTAATGGTGCTCAGCAAAGGCATGCAGCAATTAGTCCATCTTCAGGTGTTGCCCCCACAATAAATCAATAGCTATTAAGGATAATTTATCCTATTTTTTAACAGTCACACAGTTTCCCCCATTCTGAATCTTGATTTCAGTTACCAGCCTGCAGTGGGGCTTATTAAACCACAGTGCTTTTGAACTCAGAAGAGAAAGAATGTGGGTCCTCTGATGCCTTTCACAGCCACTTACATCAAGATGTGCTTTACCTGTTGCATGCACATCTGCAAATGTCCACCGAGAATCAGGGTTGGAGAGACCAGAGCATCAGAACTAACACCCCTTGTGCCATGCCAGGACGTATTTGATCACAGGGGAGCAGTAAAGTGAAAAGGGTGGCAGGATCAGAGAGGAGAGCTGTAAGAGCTCCCTGTCTACCTCCTCCGTCCCTCATGCCAACACAGAGGAGTCCCAGCATGAGTTCGGGGTTAATGGCACAACTCTAGACACACGGGGTCTCAAGATACTGCTCTGCCAAAGACTGTGTGTCCTGTTGTAGCAAATCCCATAACTCCTTCATCCCCATCTGCCTCTGGGGACAGTAGCATACCTGCGGTCTCCAGTGAGTGAACACATTCAAAGGGCTGTGAGGTGTTACAGCACTATCGTGGTCACACTGGTGTTTTCAACAGGACGAAAATGAATGTGGGAATTGTCAAAAGACAGAAAGAGCAGACATCCGAGGGATGTCCCCAGTAGCACCAAGCAGAACATGGGGTCTCTTTAGACCAGCCCCCAACAACTCTTTCTAAGTGTCTCAGATGTATGGATCACTGTGCGCAGGGAAGGAAAACCCACGCAGGTAAAAACCACTTGCTCTCAGAAACAAAAATAGAAATGAGAATAAATAGACTTTGAAATGTCTCTAGTACCTTTACCTGCAGAGGGTTCTTTGTGCTTATGGCAATGACGTGATACTTGTAGTAACACAGCTCACAGCTCCAGCAGCCTCTCTCGCTAATCCATTTAATCAGACATGGCTGGTGCGTGCACTTCACTGATCCGTCGCATCGACATGGACTCAGCAACTCCCCCTGAAAAAGAGAGACAGCATCAGTGAGGCTCCCCTCCTCCCACAGGGCCTGAGCACGGCATGGCATGGCACGGCAAAAGCTCCATCATCCACCCATTTGCTCTTTGTTCCTTTTTACCTGGTTTGGCTTAGGTAATCGTGCTGCCTCCATCCATTTTCCCTCTAATAATTCTTGGCTGATGTGAACAGAGTTTGACAGGGATGTAACAGTCTCAAATACTTGGGTCCTACAATTTTTTGTGGAAAGAGACAGCTGGGTAGATGAAAGATGCCTAATATCACCGCTGAATGAAAAGCTAGACGAGCACAGCTCTTACTAGACACCAGAGCACCCACACTAGACCACAACAAGTGGGGACAGCTCCGTTGGCAACCAGATGCCACTCTTTCACTGCTCAGGTTTCTGTCTCTCTGCTACCTGTTTTAGAAAGTGAGGTTGGCGGTGGGGATAGCTGTGAGACAGCCTCTGCTGCAGGCTGGTGTCCTGCTCAGCCCAGGGCGGCTTCCTCGAGCCTAGCCGGACAGGAGGGGGAGCACAGACGTGGTGGCCCTTGGACTTTCTGCACAGGCTGGCTCGTGCTGGCCATGGAGGTGCTGCTCCTCTCTGGGAGCTGGACTGAGCCCAGCACCATGCAGTACCTCCCAGGGCTTGCCAGGCAGTAGGAGTTTGCAGCACTAGACACAGGTCTCTCCTTCCCAATGCTCCCGGACTGGGAGGGACGAACCTGACCATGGGTGGCAGTTGTGTGCTTTAGGTCCAGGTCTTTGTGTACCCATAGCCCAGCAGGGAAAAGGTTCTCAAATTTCACCCCCCCATCCACTTCTCCCAGACAGTCTGTCCCAAAAGTGAGTCATACTGATGGATAGGCCGTAGGGCTGGCTATTTTCACCCTAGAAGTGAGCAAGATGGAGAACAAATTGTGTCCTGGCTTGTGACACACAGACACTTATGAGTGGTGGCTGAAACGCTGATCCTCCTGGCTTGCTCCCTTGTTTCTGGTGTAGCTTTAAACAGGGGTATCCAGAAAACCTCAATATTATTCTGATCCAGCTGCTATCGTCCTGTTCACCATGGGACTAAATTCCCCTCTGCACACACAAGCTCAGGAGCTCATTTTACAGCCATTTGCCATCACTTATTTAGGGAAGAACAGAGCCATTACATTTTACTCCCCACCTTTTAGTGTTTAAAAGCCACAGTATAGACCCCAATTGTCTATTTAGCTGTGCTCCAAGATTTAAAAGCTTTTAAAGGCAGAACGAGAATATCTACGGGATGGGGAAGGCTGGCATCATACTTTCAGTGTTGGGGAGAGGATATTTCCTCCTACACCTCTAGATCAGCCCCATCATTACCACCGATGTAGAACAAAGATAACAGACCCTAGTCTCTGAGGCTGCTGCACATGGTAAAAGACATCCATCCCACCTGCCTTGGGTCAGGAAACCAGATCCTGCTCTTGCTAACCCTGGTGGGAAACTGCCTTAGCTTTCAGGGTACCACATCAGGTCTCAGGACCTGAAGAACTGAGCACCACGCTAGGCAAGAGTGATACTTTTTTTTATGAAACCTAATGCAAACATGTTAATCATTTCATTTGCTTCAGCTAGGTGACCTAAAAATGTCATCTTCCATTAAATTCTAGCAAAACTGTAAATAACTGTTTACGTTACAAAACCAGGCTCAGCTCTACCTGTCACTGGTTTTCATTACACACAGGAGGGGACGCAAAGGGAGAGGGGGAGCAAGGAGCGTTGTAGGATCCGTGAACCTTTTTCACCTGGAAAGGTGTGACAGGACAAGCCAGGAGAAAGGAAGCAGGGAAGGATTAGACAGGAGGAAGGTGCCTGTGGGAAGGAGCACTGACACTTGGCGTTCAGACTCCCCGTGGGAGATGCAGTTTGAGGGGCTCAGGGTCGCCTGTGCATGTTTGTGCCCCTTGCTGGGACTGGGGTGGGAAAGCACAAGTGTGATAAGGAACCTGCATGAGCATGTACTGCCAGCCAGGATGCAAAACGGGAGGGATCAGGGCTTAGCACAGCTCCTCTGCTCCCCCGCTCACCAAACCTCTTCCACACCAAGAGCTACTCTGGTACAAGGACGGCTGCTCTGTGCCTCTAGGCTACTCTCCTCATCTCAGTCCCTGGTATTTTATTTTCTCAACAGCCTCACTCCTCAGTGCACAAGTATGATCCCAGCACCAAGCAGGTAACACAGAAACCTCCCAGCTCTACAGCATCCCTGCCTTTCCACCTCACCGCACACCAGGGTCCTCTGTGGGGCTCAAAAGGGTGGGTGAGGGACCTGGGTTTTGACTAATGAGCAGCTGGAGGCACCGGTGATGAGGGATCAGGAATGGGGCAGAATGGAGCAGGAACTAAGAGCAACAACCTCCAGGCAAAGGCAGAAGAGAAAAGCTGTAGTTGGAGCCTGGACTCACGTTGGCTTCTTGGGCTCTGTAATAAATGCGTCTAAAAAATCTGAGCTTGTCTCTTCAGAGCCAAGAGATGTCCATAAACATCCTACACTGCCGTGGGCACCTGGTCCCCCTTCCCTAATTGGGATGCTCCAACCTAGACAGTCCTGCCGGCTTCTGCAGGAGCTCAGGACTCAACTGTGGAGATGAATCCCCCAGTATCTTGACTTTGCAAATCCGGCAAAAACCTGATTTATCACATTTTCTCCAGCCATGTGAAATATTATATCCTTGTGTGTGGTGCACAGCTATTTTTGCGTACTGTGAAGCCCAATTCTGTCCACAGCAGGCATTTGTAAAACACTGCCACACGCACACATGCGCACACGCACTCCTGTACCAGCAGAAAAATAAACACCAGGGGCATATTAAAGGAATAAATCCTTTATACAGCAAAGGAGAAGGAGTCTCATCGCTGGCTGTACAGTGAGCTCAGGAGCAGTCCATCAGCTGCGATGCGCATGTAGGATTTGCTGTGCAGAGACCTCTGCTAAAACCTACATGCATGTAAAAGCAAGCCCAAAATGAGGTGAAGATCACAGCAATTAGAGATGGAAATTAAATCCCCACGCCCATTTTTGTAGGTTTGTAGAAGTCAGCTCTGCACAACATATTCTCCAGTGCTTCAAACAACAGCGTTCCCACCAATTCCCTTTGGGGACTGCTGTCCAAAGACCCTTTGAAGGGTCTACTTCCCAATACTTATTTTTGCAATTTTCCTTTGTACAGTTACAACCCATCGCTCAGATCATTTCTGAGCAGCATTTCTGCTTTATCAGCAACTAGTGGAGAAATGCTCCCCAGCTGCAAGCTGAATCCTCAGCTTGCTCAGTACCATTTTCTTCCCCTGAAACAACCAAGTGGGCTTAGGACTCAGGGCACCTGCCTTTTTTTTGTTGTTATCCAAGTCTAAATTAGGGTTCATGGCAAAGGTGGAAAACCAGAGTTAACAAAAAGGGAAGGGTGGCTCTGGCTTCAGCCATAATCCTCTCAACATTTCATCAACATGGATGAAATACACTTCCCTATATACTATTACTCTTCCCTGCTCCTGGGAAGAGTAATATATTAAGCAATTATGTATAATATTCTTTCCTTATTTCTGGCTGTGATGGGAGCTTGTCTTTAGGAGCAGCAGCGGCAAGGCCAGGCTGAACTGGCTTTACCCTGAGGAAGACGATACTGCTGGAGACGAACCAGGAGTGCGGGTCTGTTCCAGCTCTGTCCTTTCCTTATGAATTCCCAGTCTGTGCCCCTTGCAATACGTTTGAGAGGTTAATGATTATCTGGGCCCTGCTATTTTAAGCCTACTGGGAGGAGTTCTGAGAAAGGATGGAAAAATTATTGCCAGCACACGCTTCTGATGCTTGGTATATCTAGGGAGAAAACGACGTCAGGAGCAGCGTCACCCCTGTTGTGTGCTGGTGTCAGTGTTTCGCCCAGCTGTTTTATCTGTCATTTATCAGTCCTGGGAGCCCATCCACGCATCACTACCAAAGCTGCAGGTGCTCACCCACCAGCAGGCGGTCACGGGATGTGTTTCCTAGGCCTGTTCTTTTAACTATAAATTAAGTATAGCAAATTTGCCCACCCGGTCTCCTTTGAACATGGCAGTGCTGGGGACGATGGTGTCACTGGGCCAGGACTGGTCTTCTGGACTCTCCCAGCTCCAGCTGTGATGACCTACATCTGCTGCCTGGGCGGCTCCTGAGCACCAGCTCAGCTGGAAAGAGCCACATTAGCAACATCCTGCTACCACAACTATTAAAGCAAACATTTTGAAAACCAGTGCAAGCTGTACAGCAAACCAGGGTGGCTGATGGTGATCTTAACACCTGCAGTTTTTCCTCAACTGTGTGTTTTCCCTGCTCAGGTGTACAAAGTAGCGTCAGTCGTTAGCATCGCCTGCAGGACCAGTGCTCCAGGCCAGACCGGGACAGTGAGAAGAAGCTGAAAGAGTCATCCACTTCACAAGGGCTACAATCTCTCTCTGGGTATGCACATGCAGCTGCCACTGCTCACAGGAGTAGCTGCATGTACGGATCTTACTGCTAGCATTTATCTGAGTTTGTCTTGTTTGGAAAAGGAAACCAGGAATATTTAATTTCAGGTCTTCAACTGAGTCTCCTAAATACCCTTAAATCTTCACATTGACTTTAAATGCAATGGGAAGTTTTATGGCAAATAAATGCCAAATGATTTCTATATTAGGAACATAATTACAGAGGAATTAAATCCGATGGCAACGAGAAACCCATTGTTACAGAGCTGGTAAACTTCAATAAACAGGTACTAATGATCACTCTGTCTTCACACACACTTACAGGAACTGCCCCTCCATGCTTTTAAACCTAAACACAGACGTTACTATCAGCATCTCAAATGTTTCCTGTGAGTACCCTCCTGTGTGCGAACTCTGTGCCAGCCAGCCACAGACAACAAGGGACATGAAATAAGTATCTGTGAATATATATACATATATATATGTATACTGAATGAAAATTCTCCGGCATTGTGGGAGATT